AAAGCTCGTAAGGACAACTATCTTTGCAAAGGGACAAAGGACTAAAACTAGAGACAAGATTTCAGGCATACGGAAATTCTGTTATTGCGTAGAAAGATCTGACTGCTGGAACGGAAAAGCGGGAAATTGCGAGGGTAAAGTTGATGGGTGCGCAAGCTTAAGGAGGGGTAACTATGGGAAACGGAGTTGGTTTGAGTTATGAGAAGTGGATTTCGTTAATGGAAATGACGGGTTATGGGAGAAAGTTAAAGTCTAAAAGTCTCGGTGAATCTGTGGAAGATAGGGGAGTCAGGGAAATAACTAGCTTGAGTTGATACATGGGAGACGGGTGATGGTAGCAGAAGATAACGTTAAACGAAACGAGGACCAAAATCGATTTTAGTAAAGCAACAATGAAAGCATGTGACTGCGCAGCGGTGAATAGATTTCAGCGTGACTGGTATCATGAAGAATGTACGGAGTTCTGTGACGGGGGTAAAATAACGGAATGGATGAAATGAGGAATTTAGGAGTTTTGGGGAACAGATGATACTGGCGAAAGCGGATGCAGTTATTAGAGAGGTAGAGTGTCACAAGAAGTAAGAGTAGTTACAGGTTTGGGTGGATTTACGGGAAGTGAGCTGATTATTGGAGTAAGTATTACGTTCACGCGCAAATGAGAGGATGCTTGATGTTATGTAGTACCGTAGCAGTTAAGCGAAGTAAATGTAGTTAAAATCTTGGGGTGAGTAACCCGGAATAGGTGCAAGTCGGAAAAAGTTACGAGCTAATGAATTTACGGGCTACACGTGGTTATAGAAGATTAGCGAAGCTTAAGAATCTGTTATGGGGAATGATTAAAGTTAGGAGCTTTGACGAAGCTACGGATTAGGATGCAATCAGTAAAAATAGATGGAGAAAGTGAGTGAGTAAAAATGAGGTTTGGAAGAAATTAAAAGAAATGAGTGAAATAATACAAGTGAGAAAAGTAACGGAGAATAGGCAGATTTAAAGACCGCTGAGGTAGTTGTTGAACTGGATGACTTTAAGGAAGAAGCGTAGGGCTACGGTGTGAACAGAATTATTAGTAATAAATGCAAGGAAGTCTCGTAGAGTTTTAGGGAACATCTGCTATTACGGGCTCGGAGATGTTATGGGCGGCATGTGCAAGGATGCGCATGCAACTCTTAGGGAATATCAGAACAGTAAACAGTATACTCAAGAACTTTGGTAGAGTGACCAAGAATGGACGTGGCTGTGGACTCTGATGGAATTAAGGAAGACGATTGACACAGTAGAAAATCTTCCTGCAGATATCGCCCGTGCAATTGAAACGAAAGAGTGGACTGTGAGAAAATGAACAGAATGCATCATTGTCACAGAGCACAATTCTTGTCAGATGACCCGTTTGTCAACAACTCAACAAACCGCTAATGCACTTCTGGATCGCCTCGACATTTAACAGAAACCCTAAGCAAAGAAATCATGAACTGGAAGAGCCGGATAGAGTTTAATGACACTGGAACAACAGAAGAGAAAGAACAGGGTGATTGTCTCCTGACAATTATCAAGCAGAGCCTGGCTGGCTGACCGTTTTTCGTTTCTCC